TAGAGTTATCAAAGAAGTGAATGGATAACGGATAAAACGACATAACGAGGTGACTCTTCGGACAACTGAAAGAGGACACGAAGAACGGTTATCCTCCAGAAGAGAACGCACGCAAAATTCGTGTCGCACTCAAGAGAATTAATTACGGCCGTGTATGCGTACGCGGATGAGAGGAGTTAATTAACCTGCGCACGGTTGTCGATACAGTTGATTAAACTTGTGCGTCTGTATTAAAGAGGCGCCTATGCGACCGGCGTTACAAAACAATATTGCCTTAATTGTTCGCGACTCCGCGGGTGTATACGCAGACCTCTTCGCAAATACCGATAAAACATCGGACAGCGCTTAACGTGCGTGTTAATTTGCCGCTGCATTAAGCGCTACACATATAGGGTATACGTATTATTCTTGCGTAACGTTACGAAATGTTTGCGAGAACGTAGCAAAAATGTGGCTACGTGATGCGAGGTAACGAGGTCTCAAAAACGCAGAAGAGTCATAATTAATCGCGCCGAAAATTCACTTGACGTCGTAATCAAGAAACACGTCAAACCATGACATATGTCAAAAAGGAGCGTTACATCTTTTTTTAACCCTACCTTTTATCATCATTTAACTGGAAATTATTTAGCTGAGGACCGGCTACATTGATACCATATTAGCAGCGCAAATGGCGGAATATGCAAAGAAAATAAAGAAAAAAAAAAAGAGAAGAGGAAAACAACGATAAGAAAAAGTAACACAAATAAGCAAACATAAATATTTAAAAATTTTTAAGTTCGACAGCGCGTTCCGTGAAAAGAACTCACATATACTACTGATTAGTCAAACTATTGGCAAGATTGAATTTCCTATAGCATGTTTTACTGACCCTCCACACGAAAGATAGAGTACTGCCTCAACAATCTGAAGAGAACAATCAACTTTGAATGTTCTGAAATGTCTGAAATAACTGATAAAATTATGAAGAAGTTTGTATACAAATATACGGACAGATAAGATTCTTGAAAAAGTCAATAAATTTAAGTTATATAAGATAGAATATAACGATATATAAGATAGATATAACGAATAATCGCGGTAATCGTTTCACCATAAGATAAGCAGCTAATTTGAAATGTATCAAGCGCGCTTTACAGATGTATAACGATTGTCACAATAAGATAACCGAAATATATTCAAAATAAAAAAAATATATGTATATGAAAAGGAATCTATTTAATATCCAACTAAAATGTGCAACGTAATAAGTTCAGGATAGTCGCACTTTTGAAACACGTGTCGCCGCAGTTGAATTGTGAAGCGAGATATACCGAAGAGATCAAGTCGCGAAAAGGAAAAGTCCGAGCAACATTTCCCGCGAAGAGAAAAAAGGTAAACTGCAAATTGGTAAAAAATTGCGAAGTCAAGAAGAGATACTCGAGTTGTTAAGTCACCGTATAAATCTCTTCAGCAAGATTAGGATCTTGCAGTAAGGACCATTATCATCAAACAATACCGTCGAGCGTTTTGAAGAGGCATAATCGTCGCTCAACGATGTTTTAAAGTTCAGCAAAGTCCATAAAAATCACTATCATTTATCCAACCGCGACGGCCAGTCAGTCGCCCGGCGTGTTTTCCGCATCTGGAAATCGACATGAAGCGCATTGTGCAACAGGAGTTACGTTATTATCATGTTCTCATTTCGTTTCCGCGATATGCGACCTCGAAATTATGTAAAGAAAAAAGGAACGAAAGAAAAAGGCACAGAACCGAGTGGCGAGTGTCGCGATGTCGCATATCATTGTGTCAGGCGCATCGTTGCGAAGATCGCACTCGAGTTTCACATCTGAACGGCGTACGCAATTGTTCCTCGAAGCTCTTTAATTACGAGCCGTTAATGAGACGTCGTTACCGCGTCCAGGAAAACAGGAAACGCCATTTTGCGATCGTATGCGCGGGGATACGTGCGCTTTGCGCATAATCGCCGAGGCGACGACGATAATTCTCGCTCTCGTTTTCTTTCGCGCGCACAGCGTAACGATGGAAATTCGATTTCACCGTGACGCACGAGTACGTGGAGACGTATCTATGCCTACTAATGTTTTGCGTTTAACGAACAGTTTGTCAACCACGTTGCAGGGCAAGCGCCATTCAATATGCTGTACATTATTTTTATCGCGCATGGACAAAACAGCACGGGAATATATGTAAAACTAGTAAAATACAATACAATCAGTGAAATATTTTATTGACTTCCGTATTTCACTGAGTTCAGTAAAGTAATTTACGCATTTTACGAACAGCAATAAAATACTCATGTTCTCCTCTCTCTGTCTCTTTCGTTCTATCCGTTTCTTGCGGATTTCTCGCTTATTTCTCGATAAATTTTACGTTACCTGTTACGTAAAAGTCGTCTAAGTAAAACGCATTACGGAAGCTTTCTTATCTGCTATTCTTTAAACGTCACGGAAAAAATCTAAACTTTCGCGCAAGTAATTAACAGTTGTGTCGCCTTATTAATGATAGTTATATAATTTTCATGGTCCGCTGTGCGCAGTATGAATCTCGTGGCGGCTAAATGAATTCTCGCGGATCTAACAATTCCCCCGAAGTGATATTTTAGAAACTTCCGCGTGGAAAGTAATAACGTTAATTATAACATGCGAAATTCATACTCGTGTAACAAATACACGATACGCTGGCGAGCGCGCTATAATTAACGTTTGGGCAATCGTCTACCTGCAGGTATAATCAAATATCGTTATCGTCGTCCCGATATAGTGCGTACAATCCGATATGAGCCGACCTTGCGTCCCGTAACGAGGACATGCATCATTTGAAGCGACGCTTTGCATTGAGGCGCGTGTCACCAGACATTTCCATAAGCAAAAACGACGATATTTTCGCAATAATATCTCAATATTAATACTAAAGATTCCTTCTCACATTTCTTCTCAAAATATTGCACAATTTTTCCTTCAATGTATCAAGAGGACATCTCTGAATTATGAGCGAATTAAGGAAAACAGAAGAGCTTCAGCGAATTTATTTTAAAAAGTGTAAAACAAATAACAGACTTTCTCCTTAAAATTAATCCTTCTTAATACTCTTTTGTTTTGGAATATGTACAATGTTGGAGGCTCAAAAATTATGAGGTGAATAATAATGAATTTATTCGACAGATCTGTTACCGGTATCTGTTACATAATCTGTTATCGATTATTCCACGAATAAAATTCAATAAAACATCACAGATTAGCACTTGAAAAATATCGCCACGAGGATTTCGCGCTATAAATAATTGCCGATAAACATAACGGTGCTCGATCTTGGTCAAACACAAAGCTCGAGAGAGAAGATTAGAGGAAAAATAAATACTGTGTCACGTGCATTTGTGAAAAGAGATTCCAATAAAACGAGTAAACCGCTGCATCGTGACAAAATCAACAACAAGGTGACGGCGCGGCACGTGGTCTGGATTATCGACATGCTTCAAGATACGCAGACCTTGTCACGTATTTTTTTCTGCAAAAGCGTGCTGAAGAGAACAACAGCTCATAATTGTCTCATACTTATATACAGGAACTGGTTCTCGCGTGTCGAAAATTAATATATCTTCAACGTAGAAATTGAACTTACAAGTAAATCTACCCAAAAGTTACACTCCGATTTCTTTTTAATTTGGTATAAATGTAGAAGTACAAAAAATATTTAGGTCATATTTTTCCTTTACTTTAAAAGTTATATATATATATATATATATATATATATATATATATACACACACATA